TTTCCCTATAGAGAAAATGAATGGGCTTTGTTCTTCCAGATCCAACTGCTGTGCACAAAAACTTCATAAAAGTCTTTTTTTTAATCTTCACAGCTTTGATATCAGCAGGATGTTGCAGTAACAACTGCAGGAACGTGAAGCTCTGGGATAGGTGAGTTCTGCTCAAATGACTTCGGCTCTGTTGCAAACCCTAGTGAGCTGCCTACATAGACAGCATTTGAAGGCATCACTGGTGTGCTCCTGAAGTGAAGGCTATTCCAAAACAGTAGGCAGCTAAATTATGCTGCCTTATAAGAAAGAGCAACATCTAAGGCAGCATTCTATCCTTTGCTGATGCATTGCAACAAACTACAGTAAGTGCAGATTTTCAATAAATATGACAAAATGACAAATGTATGTATAATTTATTTAAAGTATAAATGAAAAGATAGAAAAAAGTGCTAAGTGATTACAAATTGAATTATCTTACCAAATATTTGTGCGTTGTATGTGTTTTTTGTGCTTATAGAATATCGAATTGTTTACTTTAATTGTTTATTGTTTACTTTAGCAACAATATTAGCGGTGATGAGACTCACAATTTTTTTGGGTCAATGTTATTGTTAACAAAGTAAAACCGTATCTTTGTTAATCAAAATGAAGCTGAAACAAAATAAAGTATAAATATTAGATGAAAATCTTAAAAAGCTTTGAAATTTAAATTGAAGTACTAAAATTATTACAACTGAAAAAATGTAAAGCGGAATGATTAAAAAAAGAATTACAAAAGCGCACAAATACTTCCACTTAAACTGAAATGAAAATATAAAAAGCTAAATCAATATATTAATAAATACTATAACAGTATAAATAATATTAAAATAACATTCGGGTCCATTTTGTAGCTTATTGTGGCCAAGAACTGCCTCAAAGGAAGATGCTTGACAGACATATAAAGTAACCAACCACATCGTTTGGCAAATGGAACCAACGATGCCACAATTACAGACCAACAAACTCATTGAAATAGTTCTACAGGTCTACAGAAAACAACACGTTGCAGAGAAAGAGAATCTTTCAAAAATCTAAGCACAAATCCAGAGACTAGTTCTTCCCACCAAAGTGCTCATTATATTAAGTATGTACACCGAATTTTATTTCCTGGCAGACTGACCTGCTCACCCTGACTCCCGGAAATTGTGAAGCAGTCAGAGTTCTGTCTGATCTGATTTTCACAAGTGCGTTCCAGTTTTGTGTGCAATATGCATGAACAGACTGTGCCGTCTGAGGCTGATACTAATGGGGTTGCTGCCTGTATAGAGCATTTCAATTTTCATTTCAGTTAGAGGGCTGTCAAAGAAGAGACGTTACACAGCGAGGCAGCTTACTATAGTTAAAAACAGAGCCCACATGTCCCCATGGTCCATGCATGTATGCATCCATATGTGTATGAATACAACGGTAGAGGTGACCTTGTCTATCCGTGATCTCGTAAAGCTGCCCAGCAGGGGCAGAACATGGCTTTGTTCATATTTAATAGCTGAAAGGCAGACGTTTATCCTTAGGGATTACTCACCAATCCCATCAAGATTTTCAATTTCTTGTTGTTTGTTGTAATTAAAGACACCAACTTCCATGCCATACAGGGATGATTTCTGTAATCCTCTTGTAAAACCTGTCATTAAATGAACAGTTTTGTCATTTTGTAAGTGAAAAGGTTGTCATCACTTACCTTCATGTTCAGTCCCCTCCCTGTATTATTTCCTTTCCTCTGTAAAACAAACAAATATTATATATACTGCCAAGGTCCCAAAAAACCCTTTGCTGGAGTTCTCAAGTCTTATTTATGCGTGCATTCAGTCGACAAAAGCAAGTTTGAAAAACGCTGCATGCACATCATATGTTTGAAATACGGCAGAGGCACTTCAGAAGACTTGAAATATAGAGCACAAGTCGTATGGACTTCATTTATGGTGCCTTTTTGCATATTTTGGAGCTTGACAGTATAAATCACCATCCATTTTACTTGAATTAATAACTAAAGCCCTCCTGAAGATCTCTTTTTTTTGTTGTTGTTGTTTTGTTTCACAGAAAAAAGAAACTAATACAGGGTGGGAACAAAACAGAGGTTAGTAAATGATGGCACATGTATGTATGTAAAGACCACATTAAATCGCTTCGACAGTTTTCTGTCCAGTGTTGACATAGGCTGAATTCGGAATAGCAATCTACTCTTATTATTTCTGCCATATTGCATAAATTGTAAGAGTAGTATGCTAGTATACAATTCCAAATTAAGCTACTTTTCTTACTGAAGAAGTAAAAAGCTAATCGGCTGCTGGTATTAGGGGCATTTGATGGGACAAAAATCGGTGTAGGGCAAAATGGCCGTTTATGTGCATTATTTTAAGTGCGCTTAATTGTACTGAATCTGCACTTCAAATTTTAAAAGTCTATTTTAAAAAACTGTACTTGCAGATAATATAATACTTAAAAAGTAAATTTTTTTGTGACAGTTTCTTAAGACACTTAAGTGCACTTTTAAAAAGTGCACTTTGTAATACTTTGTACACTTATTTTGATGTTGACTAACATACTAAAGCACTTGATTATAATTATAATTTGATTGTTACTGTATTTTAAGTGTAGTAAAACTCAACTTTATCATTACAATAGTATAATATTTAAATACACGACGTACAAGTTTCAACAGAAATGACACAATAAGAACAGACATGGAAAAGTTCAAAATTCAAAACTGTTCTACAAAAGTAACGCACTGAATGTTAGTTCGTTTTTCCAACAAAGTGCTCATAATATTAACCAGGTACAGGTAAAGTATATTTTAGTTACCATAAATGCTTTCGACTGTGGACTTACACATATTGCATAGACAATAGGAATAACTATGAAATTACTTAAAAAGTAGTGTACTTACAGTAAGACCTTAATATACTTAAGTTCTACTTAAGTGGGTGAAAAAGCACTCTTAAGTTCAAATAATCACACTTAAAATAAATGTAAATTTTAATACAATTTAATTTAATTGTAAATGTAATTAAGTGTCTGAAAATGGTATGCACTTAAGTATATTCTTTTAAGGCCAATTTATTAGTTTTTCCAACATATTGCTCATAATATTAACAAGGAATAGGTAAAGTATATTTTAGTTACTATAAATGCTTTCGACTGTGGACTTATACATATTGGAAAGACAATAGAAATAATTATGAAAAAGTACACTGTAAAAAATGATTGTGATTTTAACAGTAAAAGACTGTAAAAATGCTACAGTAAAAACCTGTTAACTGGTTAACAGTAAGTTTCCATACTATATTCGGTGAATAAATGTAATTACATTTAATGTGATTCTACAGTAAAATACTGGTTTTTGGAAGTGAAAAAGAAAAAGTCATTGTATAATTTACAGAGAAAAACTGTAAATTGACACTCCCAGAATTCCCAGCATGACACTTCATAGTTGATGTTTTTTT